AATTTTTTCTTAAATATTGCCTATACAAAACTCCTTAAAATAGTCGGTATCCAGGGGCCTTAATCTAAAATTAAATTAAATCGACTTGCCAATAAAAAAAAATTGTAAGTACTTGTAAATCGTAATTGTTAAAAGTTAAAACTATTACTAAATAGTAAATAGGTGCAGACTACAGTATACACTAGTCGCTAAAGTAAGCAGATATCATTGAGTATTTTAACTTTTAAAGTTAACCGTTAAGAACAATGCACGTGTTATCATAATATTGTGTACAGTGAATACAATAGTAGAATGTTTGCTAATCAGTAATCAATGAAATAAAGAGTTACAGCTACATAACGTACCATTTTCACCTTATCTTTTACTTTCGGACGTCTAGCTGTATGTCGAGTACCGACTACCTGTACGAGACATACGATAACTAAAAAAGTGAGCCCCGTCGTCGTTGGTAACGAGAATTAATGTACTGAAATGGCTCCATGTTAAAATCCTTATATACCAATAACTTACCAATGCGTTAAGCTAATTAACATTTTTTTAGATCAAATATTTTATTTTTGAACCATAATTTTAAAAAAACCTATCATCCCATTTGAAAATCAAAAGTTGCTATCGAAAAAACTAATTTGAGAGGGGAGTAATAAACAAAAATAATTGTACAAAATTGAGATCACATAGTATAAAAAAAAGAATTGTAATTTCTTTTTAAATCCTGTGACATATTGAGTGGCTCACGATAAGTGGAACACCCTGTATTATATGTATATATAGATATATAGATACACATACATATATATATATATATATATATATATATGTAAATATATTTATATAAATATATAAATATATATTTTAATAATAACGTTTTATTTTTTCTCCTTTAAATTGTTATAGTTTTTTTTTATATGTATATTTATAATTAATATTGTACAAATATAATACAAAATATACAATAAATGTGAGAATTGAATGATGTGATCAAATCATTAATTTATGTTGTAATAATACATTTTAACTAGCAAAATTGTAATTGTTCTACATATGTAGACGCGCGACTACTCGTGTGATATTAAACCACGCGACTGATGCAGGGTTAAGATGAATTATTAAATTTAAGGAAAGGTGGTGGACTGCGGTTGAGTATTGCACGAGTATAAAAATAACTCTATTCTCCACCCTTACGCCTATTATAAATTGTATACTTAATAACAATATTATTATTCTTGACGAATCAATCTGTTCAAGTGGAAGTAACCGAAAAATATATGAATAGTGTAAATAAAAATACCATTCAAGTTTCAATACATTTTTACTATTATTGTTTGCTAAAAATATGCAAAAAATATTAATTTAATTCGATTATTAAAAGCGTTGGCGGACACAGACAACGATAGCTCTGACAAAGTCAAGCTATTCTAATTCTTAAATTAAATCAACTTGTGTGAAATCAAAATAACATATATACTAACTATTGTCAAGTATCGAAATTGTAGCTATAAGCTAAAATTACAGTTAAAAGCTTATATTGTAATGTGTAACCAGAAATGTGTTGTACTAAATGAAAATAATTATAATAATACAAAGTTAAAAAAATAATTAATATCGTTAAATTACATTTTTTTTTAACTTAAATGTCTCAACTTCAAAAACTATATCAAAACTATAATTTCATATATTATAGCTGTAGGTACAGTGCATGTATAACATACCAGTATAGTTACAATACAAATTAAATTAAAAGTAAAATAAATATAGTTTATAAAGTGATAAAACCTTATGGTGTTTCGATTAAACAGCCAATAGAAGAATTTAAATCCTTAGGTCTAAATTCATAATTGACTGGGGGAAGTAATTGCGGAAGCCCCACCAGGCAAGTTCCTCACCGGAATGCAATGGATGCATGGAGGGGGAAAAAAAAAGTCACAATTAATAAAGATATTATTTATTATTTCGTAAATGACAAACACAAGTTGTATATTTTATTTTATCTTTATTAAAATTTTCTAAAATTGTGTGGTCATTGCCACACAATTTTTTTAAAAAGTTCATTATTTTTCGTAGTTACTTAAATTATTTTAGTCTACATGTACACGTATCTGTAACACATTTTGTTTGAGAAGTCGGAAATACACGATAGTATCTAGATTATTCGGTGTTCCCCTTCGGTGCTAATGATATTTTAATAATTAGTCCCGATTGTAACTTTTCCCTCCACCACGTATCTGAAGCCCAAACTAAAGAAACAACTGTCCAAGATTTCACTAACGTAAGAATCGATTTCATCAGCTAAATATTGAACCAGGGTCGTGTCTTCCGGTAACAGCTGAATGTCCTTTTTGTACTTCAAATCATTCTGTAATTTCTTTACAGTCACATCTCTGTGAATCTTGCCGTTGCAATAATTATTGGTAAATTTATAGATGCTATTTTTGACTATTACCAATATACGTTCGTTTATATATTTCATTTCGAGATCGACCACGTTCTCGTCGATAACTTGTTTGGACAATTTCGACAATGTTGTCGGCATTATAGTTAAAGTAAACTCGGTCAACTTTCGAGTGGCGAGCACTACACCCTGCTGAGCTCTCGATTGCGGAACTAGCGAGTAAATAAAGTCTAACGCGTCTGTCATGCATTCAAACCTCGGCGTCATGCTGTGGAGTTTGATCAGCAGGACACGAAAACAATTGTGATACCTCTGAAACGAGTCGGCGTACCTTTCTCGTCTTGGCAAACCAGTATAAAAAGACTTATGAGAACCCTGTACTTAAGTATAATGTCACTGTACTTACACATGAGCACAGTCCAGATCTCCTTGTATCTTATCAGGACGTTGGATTCGTCGACCGGGTTCCGGTACGACGTAATGGCTTCGAGTGTTACGGTCATAGGATCCGAGTTATCTTCTTCGCTATAATGTTGGATTTTAACGTTTTCCAATAACCGCCATCCCTTATGATGCAGCAACGTGTTTAACTGATTAGCTAGTTGTGATTTTTCTAATTCGCTCATAACATCCACCACAGCGCGTGTAATACAAAGTACAGAAACCCAAACTAGTATTGTAATTAAAGTATGTAAATGCATTGTCCCAGTATTTAAAAAAAAACCAAATGCAGTATCACTATTCGATAAAGAACTTAAACTGACGAACACGGTGTTTAACAATTTGAATATAATTTTATTTTTATTTTTTTTAAACACATGCCAAGACTTTTTGTTAACAACCTTCGTGTCGAATTTATTATTTACACACAACGTTCTAAGCCTACTGTATTACATTTATATTGTTTTTTAGTGGTATGATAAAGTTTTTTTAATAATAATGTGTATATAAAAAAAATCTGTCTTCAGATAGGATCCCGTGAATGTACATTCTAGGAATAGAAAATGATTAGCACGCGAAGCAAATATTAATAATCCGGACTCCGGGATAGAAAAAATGTGTAAATAAATATATATTAGCCTACAATATCCTGCAATTGTTTTTTATTGTGTATTATAGTATAAATTTATATGGAAGGTCGCGTCATGTGGGTCAGTGTGATAGTCTTTTTAGGACCGTTAAAATGCTGTATGCGTGTCATCAAGTCGATTCATACCAGATGTTTTTAACCAGTGTCAATTATTGTGATACATAAAAAATGATAATTATACTAACAATAATATAAAAATTATTTGTGTACATTGTAGGCGTTCGAAACTCATATTTATTTTTGACAGAGCAAATCGTTTGCTGTCACATGCATGCACTAATTGCATGCGTTTTGGTCATCTGTCGACATCTTGTTGTTTAAAAAATGTTTATCTGCTTGGTTCAAATTTGGCTTTCTTGTATAAAATTTATTTAAAGAAGCTAAAAGTATTTTTAGAACGATTGACAAAAGTTCAACGATCATTGGTGTCCGAAATAGGGGACTCTAAAATAAATTAAAATACCAATTTTCACAGCAATTTATAATTTATTGATAACAAAAGCCGGTAAACTTTTAAGCTATGTTATTAGGTTAATCGTAGATTGAATAAAATAATATGATAATTTTAGGCTCAAGTGAATTTTATTTTTTTAATATATTATATAAGTTTCTTAACGTTAGTTTAATTACTTTTAGTAAGTAGGTTCTGTGAATAACATTATAATTAAAAATCGGTTGTTACACCAATAAATAATCACTATGATCAATCACTATATCAAACGACATTTAGATTGTTTTTTTTAATTATACTAAGTTGTACCTACAAATCCAATAGTGTTAATACTTAATGAGAATATATTTTTTGTTGTTTACGTTAATAATACATGTAGGGTGAAGGAAGGTATTTTCGTGCCATAAGCAATTTCGTGATAAAGTTTGTTGATTGTATCGCGTATTTCCCTATTAGAAAAATGTCTTGAAAATCACACTGATTGTTAAAATAACTGTGTTTTAACAATCAGTGTGATTTTCAAGACAATTTTCTAATAGGGAATTACGCGATACGATCAACAAACTATATCACGAAATTGCTTATGCCACGAAAATACCTTCCTTCACCCTATATTGTCAATGTTTCTTATGGAATTAAGTCATCCTACAAATAGGTATTTATAGTAGTAATGGTTAAATTTTATATTAAGTTATTCTCAATAAAAAAAAATGTATGTATAATTGTAAAATCACAATGGTTTAGCAGACTGTAAACAAATAAATTCTTAATCGTATTGTGGTTGTTCAACTTTGATATACCTACCGGTTCGCTTTTACGTGGTATGTTTTTCTTTAAAGTATTTTGAATAAATACAAACAATTACGATATATTTTCAACAAAACAAAAAATTATAACACTTCATAAGTTTTATAACGATATAACAATCGAGTGGACAAAATTGGCATAAAGCCGCCGCTACATAATACGTAAGTATATAAAAAAAAAAATTAATATTAGTTTCATTTTCAACAAAAATTTTTTACCGCGAAATCAAAATTTGAAGTTTGTACGGATTATGGCATTTGAAGTTAGGCCGGTGAGTCTCCGTTGCGTTTGCGCGGATAGGCTTTCACGTGTTTGATGACGTTGCGCACGACGTCTGATGTGGACGCGGTGCCTTTCAGGTCGGCCGTATGGACCTTGTCTTCGCTGAGCGTCTTCGTTATGGCCGTCCTGATCATGCGGCAGTGGACGTCATGGCCCAAGTGCTCCAGCATGTCGGCTGACGCGCTCAGCATGGCCACCGGGTTGGCGATGTCCCGGCCGGCGATGGCCGACGCCGTGTTCCTGGTGCCGGGCTCGAACACGGCGTACCGGTCGCCGTAGTTGCGGCCCGAAATCAGACCGGCACCGCCGACCAGCCCGCAGGCCACGTTCGACACGATCGACCCGTACAGGTTGGGCATGACCATCACGTCGAACTGCTCGGGGTTGGACACCAGCTGCATGCAACAGTTGTCGATGATCATGTGGTCGAACACGGTGTCCGGATACTGGGCGGCCATCTCCTTGCACGTCTCCAGGAACAGGCCGTCCGACAGTTTCATGATGTTGGCCTTGTGCACGCACGTGACCTTCTTCCGGCCCGAGTCCTTGGCCAACTCGAACGCGTACCGGGCCAGCCGCCGTGAATTGGTCTGGGTGATCACCTTCATCGATTCGACCACGCCGGCAACGCTCTCGTGCTCGAGCATGGCGTACTCGCCCTCGGTGTTCTGCCGGATGATGATCAGGTCGACGTGCTTCTGCCGGCTGGCCACGTTGTCGTACGACCGGACCGCGACCACGTTGGCGAACAGGTCGAGCTCGTTGCGGATGGCCACGTTGCGCGACACGATACCGGTGTCCAGGCTCTTGGTTTCCACGTTGCCCTTGATGGCCACGCCGTTCCGACGGATCGACATGATGGCGTTCCGAAGCTCGTCGTTGTTCTCCCGGGCCGGATCGATCTGGATCGTCTCGAAGTCGACCGGCACGCCCGCGTGCTTGAACACTTCCTTGACGTGCCACATCAGCTCCGGTCCGATCCCGGTGCCGGGCAACATGGTCACCGCGTTCCGGCCACCGTACCTGGCCCGCGTTAGCGCCAATAGTTTTCCGGCCGGCGGCGACCGGACCGTTTCTGATTTCGTCGACGCCAATGCGGCCTGTCGCATCCGGTTGAGTCCGTCGAATTTGCGCAAAGAGCGTTTGCAAAAATTGCTCAACATCGTATCTTTTACAACGACGTCGTTCGACCGTATTTTCAATTTCAAACTAATAATAATTTTATCGAAACATACGACCGGACATAACGTCCTTTTCAATTTTTTTTTATTTGTTTGTTTATTTTACGGATGTCCGGTGTTGGCACGCCGTTAATTGTTTGTCGAACGCAGCCAGTAATATTCTTCCTTTCGCAATATCTGCACAATTAACAAACAAACAGCCAAGCACAGTGAAAATCAAAACAGTCCAAACCAAACTTAGTACAGAAGAAGTAAGCAGCGTTGGGTCCATGATTAAATCTGAAAGTCACAATGGTGATCACAGTCAAACGAAACGAGGCAAATCTACACGAATAGTAATAATCTAGCATAGCATAAATCAAGCACATTTCAATCCAAGCTCAGTCTAAGCCAGCTCAGTCCAAACCAAGCACACTCTAAACCAGCACAATAAAAAATTACCAGAGGCCACAGATTCCATCAAAGCGTTTAGCTTGAATGTGATTTTATGGAAACTTTGCGCGTAACTTAGACCACCTTAATTTTAGTTAGTGGACTGTACTGTTTTAGTCTGTACTGGTTCAAACTGTGTTACAGATTCGCATCGAAGCGCTTGTTTGTGATGAAATTGCATTCAAGTATAAGAAATACTTTGACACGACTTTAATTACATTTTTGAATTAAAAATAATTTGATAAAAATGTTGACATTTACGCAAAACAAATTTTTGAATTTGGATTCTTTTTAAATGGAATTAAAATTTGTAGCTTATCTATTCCATTCAGCAAACCGAACAAATTAAATAATTACATTACCAATAAAGGTTCAAAAGTTGACAGAACTCTTTAAAGTAGAAAAAATATATATATTTTAGTAGTTTTATAATCATTTGAAAACGGCTAATAAAAAAAATTTCAAGAAAACCCCTCAAAATTGGAATCACTTTTCGTGAAAATGAGTGTCTTACATTATATCATGTGGATGGCTTTAGTGTTTTAACGCGATGTAAACAGAAATACTAAAGTCAGACTGCCCAGTTGGAAGAAAAAAAATACCGTTCAATATATCGCACCGTGATGATAAAATAGGATCAAAGATACCATTTTTTTTTAAGAAACAAAAACAACAACATTTTAAGATAATTGGTAAAAACGTATAAGGAATACTAACTGCTCAGCAATTAAGATTTTTTTCTTATCTTTCGTGTGGTCTTACTGGTTGTAGTCCTTCTGTTTGTTTCATTATCGCATACGAGCTAGTACTAATATGTTAGTCATATTTTATTTTCACATTAATACTCTAAGATACAAATAGTATGAGGTATGCAATGTATCTGATTGTTGTGTGCAGAGTCGTACTGGCAAGGTATTGTGTCGCCGTTATGTTCTCAACATTGCACAATGGTCGATTGATTCGTCCTATGTCCCGACTGAAGTGGTGTTCGCCTAATAGTAGTAATAATAGTAGTCGTTTAATGTGCCGGGAATTATTGCCGCGTGTGTAGAAAGTTTAATTAACATAATACATGCTTTGCCTGTGCTTGTACTCTCTCTCTCTCTCATTGTGCGTCGTCAAGTACAATATGAATAACGAGCGATATCAGCTATATACATATACTTTCGCGAGTAAACGTATGAACAAAGTATATACGAACAATAATAATAATAACTGTTATACCTACGTCTTGCTGGAGACATTTCGCGGCGGCTGAGAACAAAAGGAATCAAAAGGATTTTCACGTCAGTGAGTGCTTCTGTGCCGACCGTGCGTTTATAACTTTTGCCGTGCGAACAGATAGGAAGCTCTATATTAGAAAATTAATTATAACACCGTCGCTCGAATACACTTTATTCTGAGAGTGACGTTAAATAGTTATAGTATAAACGTACAATGTATAGTGTCGTTGTGAACGAGCGGGGTGGCTCGACGGTAAACGGTTTTGACGGTTTCGGATGGATCTTACAATTATTATTTGAATATTACTCGCCTTTTGAATATTACCCTAAAATCCATCAAATTTTTAAAAAAAAGAAGTTATTTTGTTTGCTCCGTGGAAAAAAATGGAATCATGTCATCTCTTACCACATATCAAGTCAAAGAGAAATATGTTTCAACGACGGTCAAATTTAAATTAAATTACCACAGTGTCGTTGCAGGCGAGAGAGGGTTAAATGGAAGAAGAGGCACCATTGAGGCGCTCCTATGTCGGTGACAACAGCAGCAGTCGATAAATACCGTGGACAGCCAATCAAATTGAGTTGTGTGTGACGTGAATTGAAAAATTACCAAGAATAGAAATTTGCGAGGAAAGAATATTTAGCAGTCAACACTGTGTTAGGTTAGATACTTAGATCAGGTCGACTTGTACCGATGACAAAAACGAGATACTCCTTTTGACACATTCCCATTTAGTTCACAACAAGTCTTAATATGAAAATAACGTTTGGTATTAGGTTCGGTAGTAAGCTATTAGGTTAGGACCTATTTTTCTATTAAATGTTGGAAATTTCCTGAAATTTCGTAACGTTTTGCATTAAATAACGTGCTTAAAAATGTATTGAATATTTTAGAGCATATTTTTATTTTTATTTTTTAGAAAATATACCGAAAATATGTTTAGTGTGTATTAAGCATCTCCTCTAGATGGCGAGAAGCGATTGATTATTTTCCCTGTACACCAATAAACGTTTTTTCTGGTTCCCAACAAGTTTCTTGGGAAATGTTTAATTACTTAACTCAACCAATTAGTATTATCATTTCGCCCGGATGACCTCTGGTCTAACGTAGAGGGGATGGATTAGGTCAGGCCAGGTTACGATTTGATCTGGACGTATTAGATCAGGTTTACTTTACAAGAGAACATTCGTATACACTTTGCTGGAGCAGTTTTCCACAGAAAGGAATACCAACTAACAAACCCCTTAGTCGAATCATTTTAGGTCCGATACGAATCGGTTGACGTTAGTTTAGGTTTCTCGGTAACCTAACCCGATTCCTTAAATGTGTTACACAAGTGGGTCGTGTAGGTGGTGATCGTGCCCGCGTCTCCTACACGCGCTATTCACGAACGGCACCTGAGACATAATGTATTTCTGACGTCTCATTCCTGTTGTTCGGCGAATTTTGTAAAAAAACAAACCCTTCTCTTCACATACTACATTCATTATCGTATTATACTTGCCGCCAGACGTTTATTCAATTATAATATAATACAATATCTGTATACACAGCACCGAGTCGTCTCCGTCCATTGTGTGAGTTTCTCGCAAACGCAAAAACCCAACCCCCTCACCGTGCACGAGGAAATACGGTCTTAATTATCGCTATTCACAACAACGGGGCTAGTACGGATGGGAAATAACGAGATAACGCGGTAAAACGATTTTCTCTGGCAACAACCCCTCGGGCTTCCCCGCCAGTACGGCTTCAACCCGTCATTATATTATTATTAGCCATACTAGGGCGGCCATTGTATTTTTTTTTTGTTTCCCCGACAACGGTATAATGTAGCCCGCCCGACTGCGAACTAGTTTTTCTATCTAAACCATCGAAGATAACCTGCAAACCGACCCGACCACAAGCCTTCGTTGTCCTTTGGAAAGAACTCACAAGCGTATTCCCACATCTAATAATAATTCAGTGTCGACAATTAATAATCCGAATATTTTTATCTAGATAAAATATATCGCATCATCTTATTATCTCGTCTAGATAAATAATACCGTTATCTCAGGCTGTTTATCTAGATAGAAATTGATATTATCATATTATTTATCTATAATACTTGTCGATTTAATACATTTTGATATGTCTTAGTGATAAAAAAATATCTTGGTGTATTTAACATAATATGTAGGTACTTAAATGTCCTAAATTTGTAAATACATTTTTTATTTTTCAGTGTCTTATTTTTATCTTATCTAGATAAATAAAACCGTTATCTAAGGCTATTTATCTAGGTAGAAATTAATATTATATGCATAACATTTGTTGACAACATTATTTAAGCTAGCTGTCCACCATGCGGGATGCCAAACGACACAGCATAGTTAGTATCAATATTTGTCATACATCAATTTACTAAAGTTTCTCGTTCGAGTGATGCACAACTCTGCCTGCCAATGACATTGACTGGGTCGTAGTCAACCGATCACCCCGTACACGAGTGATTTATTTTATTACGCTAAACCATTTTTTTATTTCATTTAATCTTAAACAAACAAGAGGCGAGAAAAATATTCGAATTCAAAAGAAGAAAAAAAAACGGTTTGTACAATGCGTTTTCCTTTTTTGATTTTATTCATAAAGAACAAAGCGTTATTCATTATTATTATTATTTTCTTTTTTCTGCTCGATTCGAGTAACAGCGTAATGTTTTGTTAATGTAAAATACTGGGCGTTGCGAACGTCCGGATCATTTATTTAACTTGTACGTCGTCAAAAGGGAGCGGAATCGCTTTGGGTAAAAGCCACAAAACGAATGTACGTACTTTTCGAGTGTTATTATTATATTATTAATATTATTTTCTTTTGTGCGCGCAAAGAGTTGCTATTTCTATTTTAAAAGCATATTGTCGTGTGTTTTCATCCCCCTTCGGAGGGCCCGTCGAGTGTTTGACACATTTGTGCCGCCCACACGCACCCCATTTTCGCCAATGGCAGATATAATAATATAAACATAACGTATACAAGGTGATCAGTTCAACGCGAGACACTGGTTTTCTGTAAAAAAAAAATTATTGCAATGTTTTGTAAACAATTTGTTCGTTTCGTTTCACAATAATATTTTCGCTATTTAATGGGAAATTGCTTCCGAACGAATATGATGTTTGATCATAAATTCAATTGACCAAGTCATAGCAAACGGGCAGATTAATAAAAATTGAAACGCTGACATTTTT